GCACAAAAATCCCCCAACGTCACTCGCTCTGCATCTGCTGTGTCCTCTGGAGGGGGCACCGGGGCTGGAGCCAAGAGCAGGAGATGATGCTCTGCAGGGAGGACAGTGGTGGCCTGGCTGGGTGGGACAGCAGAGCTGCTGGTCACCAGGAGAGCTCAGATTTCCCCAAATGACCCAAAATCACAGAATCAGAGAATCCTAGAACGTGCTGAGCTGGGAGGGACCCCCAAGGACCATCCAGTCCAACCCTCAGCCCTGCACAGGCCCAGCCCCAAGAGTCCCCCCCTGTGCCCCAGAGGATCATCCCAACCCTCCTGCAGCTCTGGCAGCCTTGGGGCTGTGCCCACTGCCCTGGGGAGCCTGGGCAGTGCCAACCACCCTCTGGGGGAAGAACCTTTCCCTGAGATCCACCCTGAGCCTGCCCTGGCACAGCTCCAGCCATTCCCTGGGGTGCTGTCAAAGTGAGTGAGGAAAGGTCAGGAACACCCTGTGCAGAGACCTGACGGGCTCTGGGAAGGTTCACCGGGGTAGTTTGAGGTAGGACAACCACCCCAAACTTGGCTGGCGCATCCAAGGTGGGGTGTTTTGAACCCTGGGCTCTGAGGAATCTGGGATACCTCGGGATACCCCGAGCTCCAGCCTCCAGCTCTCCCCGTACCCCGCGGCATCCCCGGCGTCTCGCGGTGTCTGCATTAGCTTTGAACCTGTTTATACCCAACACTCCCCAAACCCCAGAGAATCTGTCAGCTGGGAGGCTTTGGTTGACTCCTGTCATATTTAGTTTAGCATCTGACACCTCCTTCTAGACAAATACAGCTCCGGTTCACTGAACCCGATAACTCCTTTTTAGTACAGCGACTGACTTCCATATGGAATAAATTACAGTACCTCCTGAAAAACGCCAGAGGCAGCTGCCAAATTATGCAAAATTTAAACCACTAATGAACAATGTGATGAAAGTTGAATGAAGGTGTATTTACAAGATCTACAACACACTGTCTCAGCGGAGCAGATGTACTGTCTGTACAAGCATGTGAGAGTGTGTGTGTGTGTGTGTGTGTGTGTGTGTGTGTGTGTGTGTGCCTGTACCTACGGACACTCATGAATATTCCCGTGCCATCCATGAGGTCTCGCTGCTTTAGGTGGATCCATCAGCACCGGGCCGGAAGATTCCTGGTGCATTCCTGGCTTTTTAACGTCTCCTGGGTAAAATAATAGTTGTAAAGGCAGATTGCAGGAAGGAGAGGCGTTAGGGGGGGGTTTGACAGGGGGTGAAGAAATGGATCTTTAAGGAAAAAAGTGAGAGGAGGAGGGAATGATGGCAAAAATGCCGGTTCTTTGCTGTCCGGAGGTCCGTGTGGAAACATGGATCACTTGTTTATGAGGGAGGCAAACAATCAGTGCCAGGAATTTGGCTTCTAGCTGGGAACAATAAAATATACATGTTAAAGGAGGCTTAAAGAAGGCTGGACAGGGACTTTGGACAAGGGGCTGGAGGGACAGGACAGCAGGGAATGGCTTCCCACTGCCAGAGGGCAGGGTTGAGATGGGATATTGGGAGGGAATTCTTCCCTGTGAGGGTGGAGGGGCCCTGGCACAGGTTGGGTAGAGAAGCTGTGGCTGCCCCTGGATCCCTGGAAGTGTCCAAGGCCAGGTTGGAGCAAGCTGGGCTGGTGGAAGGTGTCCCTGCCCATGGCAGGGGGTGGAACTGGGTGGTCTTTAATATCCTTTCCAACCCAAACCATTCCATGATTCTATTGTTTTCCCACAGCTTTCCAATGTGAGACCTTCTCTTGGTGCAAAGTTCTCAATCCCATGTTGTGTAATCTGAGCAAGGTTTAGTTCTCCAGACCCTGGCTGGTCCTGTCCTCTGTACTTGGTGACAGTCCCCAAACCCACTATTCTTGTACCAAAACAGCTTAAATTCTTCTGCAGAACTACTGGTAGGGGAAGAGGATAATTGCTCTTGTGAATACATCAGGCTGCTGCTTCTGCTTTTTGAGTATCTCTGGAGATGTTCAGGAATTCAGTTTTCAGTACCTCTGGGAAATGCTGAAAAGCTGTCTGGACACAGCCCTGGGTAATGTGCTCCAGGGAAATCTGCTCCAACAGGGAGGTGGGACTGGATGACCTCCAGTGGTCCCTTCCAACCTTACTCACCCTGGGATTCTTTAGGCTTCAGAAGATGCCAAAGCTGGGCTGCCAGGGGGATCTGAAGGTCCAGATCTCCACCTCCCCGATCCAGCCCTTTGGCAGAGCACACAGGACAGCGCCGTGAACCAAATCCCCCCTTCCACAAGTGGATATCAGTTGTATTTATTTTTAATCTGTGCTAATCCTCTGCAATTAAACCCTTTGGAACCATCCAGTGGGCGGTTAATGGGTGAAAAGAGGGGTTTGGATTGCAGTTGACAGCCACCAAAATGCAATATTTGACTTCATATCCTTCCCAGCTCTGTGCTGGGAGCAGAGATCCCGGGGACAGAAGACAAGTGGACCTCTTGGCTAATTATGAGTCATTTATTCTGAACCGCACAAATTTCAGAATCTGAATCCCAATTAAGACATTGCACTACACGTGTTAATTAGCCTGCTCTCCTTTTTACATCAAGCCATAACTCTTCTTAATTGGGAGGTCGGCCCTTGTAATTTGAACTGGCCTTGGAGTTGGGAGCACCCCTGGAAGTCACACCTTGGGGGCTGGACCCGGGATCATTTTAAATTGGTTGGGTTTTCACTTGGGTGATTATAAGGTCCCCAGCAGGGCAGTAATTACAGAGGGTGCAGCTTCCAAATTAAGACGTCAGGGGTGGTGTAAGCAGCGATGTCTTGGTTCTAAACTGTGCTCCGGGGAGGCTCGAGGGATGCTGGTCCTCTGATTGCCTCAGCGAGGGCTCTCATGGATCACAACAGCTTGAGCAGGAGAATAAATCAGTTCCAGGAGCTGCGTCCCGGGGATAATCACGGTTTATATCCATGGCAAGTCTCGAGGGGTGCATTTGGTAGATGTGGAGCAAGGTTTCCCGCTTTCCTCACCCGGCCAAAATCCTTCTGGGCTTCCGCGGGAGAATTTTAGATGAGACCGTGCTCCCGGCAACAAAGAGAAGCGAAATATTGGAGAACAGAAGCTTGGCTTTCACAGCCCAAATTGGTAGGATCAACTCCGTCTCGGTGGCTTATTAGTGAGGAGCTGAGACGCTGGAGGAGTTGAAGCTCCGGATCGTGTTTTCCCTCCCCGCTTCCCCCAGACCCTCTCGAGATGGGAGACGGTTTTTTCGGCGAGCAGCGCTAGCAGAGGGCGAGGAGCCTGAGTGTTCAGCCACGCAGACAGCGTGGAGCAGGGTTCCCACACATCAGCTGCTCCCTCAGAATCCATCAGGTGCCTGTTTGTAGCCGAGCAGACAGGGGGGGAGGGGGTGCTGGGGGGGAAATCTCCCATCCTGCTGCGGCTGCACGGGGAGATGTGGCTGCACAACCCGGGCTGCCCGTGCCAGAGGTGTGTGCCCTGAGGTGGGGAGGGTTGTCTTGGCACCCTGGGAGTGCCTGTTAGACCCCAGTGGCAACCACGGGGGTGTTCAGAGCTTGGTGTGATCTGGTTGTGCCTCCCTTGAGCAAAGGAGAGCTCCTGTGCTCCGGTGGGAAGGGATTAACTGGGAGATCATGGAGCATCCTGAGTTGGTAGGGAATCTCAAGGATCAAATCCAGCTCCTGGCCCTGCACAGGGCAACCCCAGCAATCCCACCCTGTCCCTGAGAGCATTGTCCAAACCCTCCTGGATCTCTGGCAGCCTTGGGGCCATAACCAATGCCCTGGGGAGTTCCAGTGCCCAACCACCCTCTGGATGTAAAACTATTTCCTGATATCCAACCTAAACCTCCTATGACACAGCTCCATGCCATTCCCTCAGGTCCTAAATGACCCAGCAGCAAATCTCACTCTCTGCATTCCTCATATACACTGAATATTCAAACAAAACTCTCTGTCAAGTTTTCGGTTTATATTCCCATTTTTTTTTCAGACTGGTAGGAAAAAAGTTGAATGACAGGAGTCCTTTTGGTTAATAGCTCCAGAATTCACCCCTCAAGAATTATGTTTTCCCCCCTTAACAAACATAAACTGCCTGAGGTCCTGGATATCCTGGAATATATTTAACACACCACCTTTTACCTGCTAAACAGGTAAAAGTTGTCCCAGTTTTTGGGTGTTAATTGCATCACAAGGGTCACTTCTCGGTCATTTTGAGAACCTGTCCTTGCAGGTATCTTGAAGTGTTCACTGTTAACAAATCTTGAACTCAAAACTATCCCCTGGGAAGAGGAAGTGTTAAAACATCCTTATCACCCAGGCTACAGATGTTTGGCTTTTAACAAATTAAGGTATTGTCGAGTTTACTGCTGTATTACCCCGTTTACAAAGCCTGTGCCTTTTTCAGCTGGCAGGGCTGACAGAGCTCCCCATACCTCTCAAGGACCTGAGTCCCTTCTGCTCACTCAACATCAGCTCCAGAGCCTGAATGCAGGTGACACCAGTGTGTGGCCTCCGCTCCAGGGATTTGAACTGGGAGAAGAGTGTGAGGGTGAACTTGCTAAGAAAGAGATGCCCATCCCTGAGAGTGCTCGAGGACAGGTTGGACAGGGCTTGGAGCAACCTGGCCTAGTGGAAGGTGTCCCTGCCCATGGCAGGGGGTGGAACTGGATGGGCTTTTAAGGTCCCTTCCAACCCAAACCATTCCGTGATGGAACCGAGGCCGGCGGGTCTGGGTGGACACCAGCGTCTGTTCTGATGATGCCATGCACTCAGCTGGTCTGTGAACTGGTCTAACAAAGCCTTTCCTTTTCCAGAACGTCCCTGCTGAGGTCTCGTCCCCGGATGATTCTCCCAGTGCAAAGCCTTGTGTGCCTCGCTGCCTTCGGCCTGGCCCTCCCCTTGGCCATCAGTCTGTTCCCGCAGATGTCCGAGGTCAGTGCGTGTCTGGTCACTGCAGGGGGGTGTCTGGGGGGGTTTACCATCACCAGGGCTTGTTGTGCCTTCCTCCAGAATAGTCTCATTTCTATGGGAGGCTCCTCCAGTTTTTGTTCAAGTCTGTTCCTGTTTTCTTCACTCAAGTGCAGCCCCTCTCCCATCACAGTGGTGTTTCCTTGGGGTCAACACAGCAAAAACAAACCTTTGTCCACGAAGCCAAGAGCCTGCACCATCCATTTGGTGTGGATGTCCCTTCCCAGAGCTGCTTTGAGGGGTTTCTGCCTTTTCATCTTCTAGTCCAGCTCTGGGAAGACCCGTCCTGGGGGGTGAACAGAGGAAAACCAACCCAGGAAACAGGGAGTGACTGATGAAATCACTTGTACCAAGTTAGTTGAACAAATTGCTGAGGTGTATTTGTTTCTAAGCCATTCATTTTGTCCATTTGGTGTTTGGAGCTTAAAGATTGTAGGTTATCAGGGAGGGTCATTATTCTGAAGTGATAAAACCTCTCTGGAACAGAGCAAAGGACTTTGCTGGAGTTCTCTTTGTGTCAGCCAGAACAGTTGATCAGAAATTGCTATCATCAGTGTCTCTACTGCTTAATTCATAATTTCTCAGTCTGTATAGGTTTATCCACGACTTCCAGCCGGGGAATCTTGTTGTACACTTGTCTGCTGACTGAAAAACACGTTACAGATTCTCTGTTATCCTTCTACAGGCTGAGATAAACCTGTCCCTTCATCTTCTAAGTAACTGAATACATCTCAATCTTGGAGCCTCTTGCTAAAAGACGTGTTTTCTGAAGCTTTAATGATTCATATGGCTCTTCCTTAAACTT